CTGCAAGACGAGCGTTTCGTACGAGACTTCCTCCAAAAGTCACGCGTCAAGTCTCAAAAACGGGCGTTTCGTACGAGACTTCCTCCAAAAGTCACACGTCAAGTCTCCAAAACAAGCGTTTCGTACGAGACTTCCTCCAAAAGTCACATGTCAAGTCCCCAAAACGAGCGTTTCGTACGAGACTTCCTCAAAAACTCACATATCAAAGTCTGCAAAACGAACGTTTCGCACGAGACTTCCTCCAAAAGTCCAGCAGAAACATCCATCGGAGCACACACATCACGCAGCCCTGCCAAGCAGTTTCGCGAGTCCAGCCCCTCCAAACGACACCCGCTCAAACGCCAATCCCAATGTGACAGCGACATTCACCAACCTCCCGATTCCCTGCGCCTGCCACGAATCTTTCCGCGTCCACACGTCTAACGCGCACAAAGTACTGCGCCTGCCACGAAATGTCACCTCCGTCACACATCGCAACCTCACGATTCCCTGCGCCTGCCACGAAAATCCCACTTCCACACCTCAAAACCCGCACAAAGTCCTGCGCCTGCCACGAAAAGTAACGATGTCATCTCATGTGAGCTTCAACAAAATTTGCACCACACCACACGTTTGGAATGATTTCGACCCGTTCTGAGCACACTCCCATCCACCAAAATCGGCATTTCAGCTGAGACTTGTCACGAAAACAGAGCTTCGATGCCACACCCTGAAACGCAAATCCCAATGGCACGGCCACATCCAACACCCCAAAAACACGACTCTCCAAACGCTAATCCCAATGGAACTGCGCAGCAATCTGCAGATCTCACCAAACGCTGCGCCTGTGCAGCGAAACGCATCACGTTGCTTGCGCGACATGTCTTTTTCATGCAAATCACAATGGAATAGCGGCGCAAACTGACACGTGACACATCCGTGAAAAGTCACTTGCAAAAGCTTCCCCCAATGGCAGCGCCTTAGCGCTCTACCGCGAACGGTTGCGGACGGTTGCGAACGGTTGCGGACGGTTGCGGACGTAGAAACAACGGATCGCGAACAAGGCTCTACCCCCAGACCCCCAAGAGTTAAACGAGAACCCTTCGCTACGCATTCGGGAAAAAGCAAAACGGATAACAAACAGGATTTAAGAAAGAAAAATCATGCAAACGTAGAATATCGTCTGCAAAATACAATTTGAACACTCTCATGCTGGGACGAACTGATCCGAGTCCATCCTCTGCCCGAGTTGCAGGCCCAAGACGTGGATCACCGAGAGCGGCTCCTCGTCCACCGGCTCGGTGTTCCGGGCATAGGCCAGGGGCGCCTCGGTGAACGAGGCAGCTCGCGACCGGTCCGAAACGGAGGTGTCCGGATGTGAAAGCCTCCAAAAATGTAAAAAACGACAACGATTCCTTCGGGATCAAGGGACGAAAACGCAAAAAGGCCGCAACACCGGAGAAGTCCAAACATCGCTTGGTGTTGAAATGAGAGACTTTGATCCTGATGATCTCTGGGGTCCTTCTGAGTGAAACACCGGGACGGGGGTAGGGAGGACACCTCCGCATGCAGAAATGGCATCCGAATCCTTTGGCGTCAAAAAAGGCGTAGATATAGATCCGAAGAGTGTCCCGCTTCCGAACCGCCGTCAGTTCTTAAGCGTGAGGCCATCATGTAGTCCAGGATCACAATCTTTGCGCAGCGCCCAGATAATGAGGCAAAAGCATAAATCAGCCCCTGCGCACCGTGGGGCTCAACAAAAAAGGCGGCACTGCCCATGGTCATGTTTTTAGAGAAGGCCCCACATGAGGTGCATGCCCACCCTGCCTGGATGATTTGTGATTTGTTCTTGGATTCTCCTTCCACCTGAGCTGCGGCGGAATGTCAGTGATCACGACTGTCAAGGGCCAAACCTGCCAGCCAACAAGTCATAGCCCATCAAAGAATACGATCATTTGACAGAACGATAAGTAAGAGGTTCTATGTACGTCACTCTTTCGATGTACACCATGTATATGTATAAATAATGACACCCTGACGCCCTGCTGTCAGCATCCCAAAGGAACCCGCCCAAACGTGGGGAACACCCCCTTCGCGCCTGGACTCGCAGCCCGACTCGCCCCCGTGCGACGCTCACTCCTTCGTGGAAGGACGAAATGGGGCGCCCGGGCGGAGGAGACTTCACCCCAGGAGATCACCAGGGCTCCCAGGAAGGCGATGATCACACCTCCCCAGGAGAGCACCTGAGACGGGGGGTTTCTGACGGAGTGCAGCGGTCTACGGGTTTTCGTTGACGCTGAGTCGGGACTCTTGAAGGCGGAGGAGGTGGTTTAGGGGGAGAGCGCGGCAGGCGCTGCGAGTTGATTTGTCCAAAAACCCCTCCACCTTTTCTGGTGTGCATGGGAGTTGATTTGCTTGAGAATATCGAGAAATAGATGTGGTCCTTGAGTCCAGCTTTCCAATTGGTTTTGCAGAGCAAATGCAGGACTAGTGACTAGTGTGCCAAGGAACAGTAAGGCGCCTGCCACAGCAGCTCGAAATCACAGCAGTGCAAACTGGGGACAGTGTCCCAATGACGGCACAAACACCAGCTCCCGCATAGACCATGGCTTTGTTGTTGAAGACCACCTGGTCGAGATGTCAACTGCAACACCCACAGTGCATGCATTCTACTATTCAGGCCATATTCCAGCAATCAGTCAAGCAGCCGAGATCGGTTGACTAATTGCCACTGGAACAACGGTCCTTGAAAGGGCAGCGCGTTAAATGGTCATGTTTGTCACTCAACACTAAATAAATCAAAATCACAAAGCCTGGCTCAGCCATTCCACCCTTAGGCCTAGGCGTCAAAGCATATACAATCCTTTCTCCTCTCACGATCTTCCAAGGCTCTTGACCCATCGAAGTAGCGGGATGGACCAGGGAAAAATCTTCCGAGGCTCACCCTTCCACGTCCAATACCTCAGGAATTTCACGCATCACTTATATAAACCACTTAAACTCACTTCTTCACGAGGTGGGGAGGAAGGGAGGGATGGAGGGAGGGAATCACCCACTGCCAACTTCCCACCCAGATCCAGATCGACCTTCCCGCAGTCTCTGTCTAAATCAGCTGAAGGCTGCGCAGCAACCGCCACCACCACACAGGAGAAGTGCAAGGTGGTCAACAGCCCTGGGAACCTGCAGCCAATTCCACTGACGTCTGGTACGTCTGGTGTGGCATGGCGGCCAGGGTTCGTATGTTGGGTCTCGGCTAGGTCAAAGAAACAAACCCATTCATCCGAGTGTTGTAAATTCCGCAGGTCCTGGGGAAAGCCCTGACCCACCAAATTTCGCATCCAGTTTCCAAGTGTTCCCGTTTGCTGTTGCTTCTTGATGTGTCGTTGTGACTGATGGCAATTGCTTGGCCCTGCGGCACAAGACGAAAAAAAACTTAAAACGATGTTGGAAAACAAGCCTGTATAGCACCATTACACCGACACGTCGATGTGCCTGTTCTTTGCATTTCTTGTAAAAGAATCTACAACACATGCCGAAAAGCTAGCAGTCCTCCTCTCCCCATCTCTCCGTCCTCCTCTCCCCTCACACCAAAAATCCGAGCTCTTCGCCGAACGCCGGTGACAAAGCCGAATACGTCGACTCCGGGGTCAGAGCACCGACTCCTCATCCGAAGGGTGGTCCATTGGTGTTATTCGATCATTCATAGCATCACCCATTTGGGATGGTTTGATAATCGTGTATATACATATACATATACATATACATATACATATACATATACACATCCATGATCATAGAAATGTTTAATGGTTTATACATAGACATAGACCCCTGCCATCATCCGCCATCATTCACCATCCCCATCACCATTTCTTGGGGTCACAGGAGCTCATTCACCGCGTCCGCTCGCCCGCGAAGTTCTCGCGGCCACCCGAAGACGGTCCGTTCGGGCTGCCCAAGGCGCTTGAAGTTGAAGGGTTTCGACTCCACCACCTTCACCGACAGCTGCGTGGCCACCAGGAAGGCCACGAAGAGCGAGGCGCTCAGGACCACGCGCAGCCCACGGGAGCGCAAGATGGCCCAGATGGCCACCTGGAGACGGGAGACGCCGGACCCGAGGAGTTTGGGAGCTTTTTGGGGGGAGGTCCAGTGTGGGTTTGGGAAGAGACTCTTATCCAAGGGAAGAGACTCTTATCCAAGG